AAATAAAATAACGTATCTAATCTAGACTAATCAACAAAATAAGAGCACTAAAATCAACTCTTCTATTTTACATAGCAACATATCACAGTAAAAACAATATAATGCTTTAGTAAGCAAAAATCTGGCCCTAAACTTGTTTACAAGTAAAAATTATTTATTACCAGTTAAATTAAATGTCTTTTTTCATTTTAAAGATGTTCAAATAGAAATATTAGCTTTTATAAAACTTGAAAAATTCAATGCCATTTAAAGAGCACTGCGAAAACATACGTTCATCTGATCGGCTATGCCGGGAACCTACGTAGTTGTCTTAGTAAGCTTATCAAGAGATCGATGTTGATTTTTTTTATTGCAACAGTGAGTATAGATGAGGAGAAGACCGCACGCCCACACACTTTGTTGACGAATAGATAATGTGAAATGAATAATGAAATGTTGTGGTGATGAAAGTACTCTTATATAACAACTATATTATATTGTGATAAAGAATATGATCACTTTCATTTTGACGCGATAAAGATAAGACGTACTTTCTTCTCGCAAACTAAATTACTTATTCTTAAAAGACATCTGCGGTTCGTAGAACCGTTAATGTCGATCATGTCCACTTCCAGTCCCAATAAAATAAGCGGTTCCCAGCAGGAACTAGATTATTTTCAATATATTTTCAATCTGGGATGTCAAAAATTAAAAGAACAACAGAAGTCACAAATGACCAACTATCAATCCATCCAGTCCACGGAAAATCACGGTTCAAAATATCGTCTACACAACTCACCAATGACTAAGCATCAACCTTCTTATCCATCAGCACCAATCGGATATCGTGCTACCACGATGTCACCAGTGAATAGAAATCAAAATACAGCTTCAATCCCACCACTAATGAGTGAATCAAATTTATATCAGCCAAAATCACCAACTGTATTAACACCTGTGGCCCATCAACAAAATCATTATCAAAATAAAACTCCAGTGTTAAGTTCTCCCGCAATACGACGGCGACTAAACGATAGCAGTGAAAGTCAACAATCACAGCAATACAAAAAACACCGATCAAATGATGATCTTCGCACTAGTCTTAATTCTAAACAACTTGTCAATAATACCCTATTGAATCCTCCTCAAAACAACAACCCAATACTAGTAAATCAACAACAATATATGGTCAATAATCATTTCCCATTGGCTCATTTGAAACGTGCAGTTTCCAACAATCTTCCATATTTCTATTTAAAATTCGATGACGATTTGACTATGGACAAGGTACCCTCATCGGCTAAAATTATTCATGAATTAAATCAATTCTTTTACAATAAATGGGTACCTTCCTTCAAAGGCTTTACGGTCTGTTCATTAATAGGGAAAAATCGGTTCAAAATTGGAACAAATGATAAAGCCGATTATTCTAAATTGATTAGTACTCAATGACCCGGTACAATTGATGATAAAATTGTCGAATTAATTAAACCCAACCATTATCCAGACTGTTTCTCTTTTGTCGTACGACATATACCAGTTAACATACCAAATGAGCACTTAGTCAAATATATATACCAGGTTTTTAAGTCTGCTGTTAAATTTACAGAAATTAAGCATTACAAAAATAATAGCCAATCAACGAAAGATTTCCTTTTCACTATTACGGATATCATTGAATATTATACAGCATTAGATCTGAAACGTATTGATATTGGGAATCAATTACTACCACTTACACAATTCAGAACAAGTTATAAACTAACATACTGCACCAAGTGTTGGAGAGTAGGCCACATGAGATATGAATGCAATGAACCAACAAAATGTCGTATATGTCTTGATAAATATGAAGAAAATGTTAAGCACCGATGTCAAGGATCACCAAAGTGTGCACAATGTGACAAAGATCACTGGTCATTAGATAATAAATGTGAAATCATTCGTCAATATCGACAAGATCTTAAATCTGCAGTTGAAGCGGCAGTGACAAACGGGAAACTGCAACGAATTTCCACACGTGATATAAAAAAACCCTTCATAAACAAAGTCGAGGACTTTCCAGTTCTTGTGCATTCCACGCAGGAACAGATACCACCTGCATGGAATATCCAGAAAAAAGAAAATATCGAACTGTTGAACGAACTTCAAAAGATTAATGGATCTATGAATGGTATACGTGATGACATTGAAACACTTGGAAAAAAATTAATCGAAGAGAACGATAAACGATTAGCTCAAGATAAATTAATCCATCAACAACAACAAAATATTGTACTAGTTATCAATCAATTTCAAATTATTATCAAATCATTAACAGAAGCTCTGCCTGAACTTGATAATAAGGTTAAAAAAAAGATAGAGAAGCAAGTGAAAACATTAACTGACATTGGGAAGAAAATTTCATCAAATGAAGTCATTATTCATTCCAAAGAACAAACATCACCGCATCAAATTCAAACAAATACAGAAATAACATCATCAACAACAACTGATATTGGTAGAGGTAATGAAAATGAAAAATTAAATATGTCAATAGAGACAATCAATAATGACTAAGTTAAGCAATACCAACTTAAATGTGCACGCTCTATCTTTCTTTCCCAAAACCCTCTTCATCTCCTCTCTCACTTCTTCTTTTTCTTCTCTTTCTTCTACTTCTCCCATCGAAATATGTAACAGCTCTATACAAGCTGACCAACAGAGACTCAGACAGTGTGGATTCAATGAAAAAGAATGTAAGCAGTTGTCGAAGTACTTATATGAATGGTATTCTTCATCAACATTAAATCAAGTCATGAATCAATGGGAAAAACATGGTGAAAAAGAAAAAAATAGTCCGGATGTCGAACATATGCCCCTCACTTTCGTTTCCTATAATGTTCAGGGATTAGCCGCAAGAGGACTTGAAGTACTCAATTTAATTCATCAAGTGGGTGCCTCATTTATTGTCTGCACAGAAGTGGGAGATCAGTATAATTCTCTTCAAATTCCAGATTTCAATATGTTTTACGAGAAGGGAACTAATAAAAACGGAGGTGTATCCATAGCAGTAGGAAAACATTTAAATGCAACAAAGGTGGAAACCAAGTTACAAAATACTCTAATAATAGATATAATAGGATTAAATGAACCAATAAGAGTAATAGGTATTTATTGGCCAAATAGTCAACAAAGAAATATACAGGAAGTAAATCCATATATAATAAAAAATACAATCATAACAGGAGATTTTAATGCATCAGTAGCACAGTGGAATAGTCCAAAAACAGACAAAAGAGGGCAGAGTATATTGAAGTGGAGTGAAGAAAATCTACTAACTTACATTCCAAGCACTTCAAATTCCTCAAAAAGGTCCTTGAGAAACATTGATTTGACTTTTTCGAATTTTGCGGGAATAAATGGGGAGACATTGAAAGTCGGAACTAGCGACCATTGGCCACTAGTTTACAGATCAGAACTCATCTTCCTTCCAACCACTCGAAAATTCGCTACAATTAAATGGAAACACTTCGAGGTGATTTTATATATTTTACAAGAGTATTGGATGAAACAGAGCGACTTTATGACAACAATTGAATGGTATAAAAATTACACTCGATTCTTAGCTGCACTAAAAAACCGTCTTACGAATTGGCAAGAAATATCTAAATGGAAGCCTACTTTGCCGCTGCCCATACGTGAAAAATTGAATCAACTACATAAGATTAGAAATAGATACTATAAATATCGACAGGAAAATGATCGAATATGTCTTCGTCAAATGACTAGACATGTTAAAACTGAAATAAATATTTACCGATCTAGTAAATGGAACGAATTCTTAGCAAATATTCAACAAAATCATGGTAGATCCGAATCAACCTTTTGGAAACATCTCTCTCATATCTATCGACCGAAATCATTACCCTTTCGCAAACTCAGAGTGAATGAAAAAGAGATTACTTCGCAACAGGAAATAACAAAAGAACTACATGATTATTATTCAAACCTCTTTACTCCTCCTAAAATAAATCAAAATGATCCTTTTGATGTTCAAGTAGAAATCGATTATAACCACATTCTAAACCAAGTTAAATCGTATAAGAAAACAGTTGAGTTAACATCGCCCTATGAACTTAAAAAAACGATTGATACTCTAAAACCAAAAAAATCAGCAGGGTACGATGCTATATCCAATTTCATGATCAAACGCCTACCACCAGGCTACCTGAAGTGCTTAAGTAAATGCTTTAATGATTGGTTCCAGGAAGGAATACTAATAGATGATTGGAAATTAGCAAAAATAATAACTCTAAATAAAGTAAAGTCAGGCTCACCCCACTGTGATCAAACCAGACCTATTTCGCTTTTAGCTACTCATTCCAAACTGTTCGAAAAAATTTTGTTGAATCGAATTCAATATTGGGCCGAAACCAATCATATAATACCGGTGGAACAGTCAGGTTTTAGAAAAGGATGCTTACTACAAACTAGAGTACTGTCAATTTATCAGGAAGTAAAGAATTTCCTTGCAGCAAATGTACCCACGCTCAGTATTTATGTAGATTATAAGAAAGCATATGATAAAGTATGGCATGAGGGACTTATTGTAAAGCTATACCATATGAAAATGCCCCTTGAATTATTAAAACTAATAATAAACTGGCTAAATAATCGAAAAGCCTATGTAGAATTTGGAAGTCACAAATCAGATGAATTCATAGTCAATGTAGGACTTCCGCAAGGAAGCTCACTGAGCCCATACATTTTTATTATTTTTCACTCCGATATTGTAAGCTGCACGGGCGCATGCTCAACCCACATCTTTGCAGATGATCTTTGTGCTCTTATAGTACCCCCAATTCAGAAAAGTCTACCAAAAATGTTAGAATATATCAATAAGAAGGGGACCAAAATATGTCAAAATCTCTTCGATTACTCCTTGATGTGGAAGCAGCCAATAAATGTGGATAAGACTGTTGTACAATTGTTTCATACACAAGTAGTACAACCTAAAGTACAAATATATATGGATGGAAACCAGCTGAAATGTGTGAAAAGATTCAAATATTTGGGATTTGAGTGGTCAGACAAACTTTCTCTCGTCCCAACCGTGGATCATTGCATAGAAAAAATCAAAAGCTCATATATAAAGTTGAAATGGCTGAAAAGAAATAAACAGATCACTACCAAGGTATTGAGGCTATGTTTTTTTTGCATATAGCTTTCCCTTCTTTGCATGGATTTTTCCTTTTTTCCCTCTCTTACCAATCGCACAACAAGTAGCACTACAACGTAAATTTAGAGTGGGGTTGAGAATAGTTCATAGATGCCCTTTTATTGCTGCACATGAAATCCCATTGATATTAAATGAACGACCATTAGAATCATATGTCGCAACATATCTCAACAAACGGTTAAATCGAACATTTAGATCTGACCTGGGCGAATCTCTTTTCTATAATGACCTATTTAATTGGGATCATTTCATCAGCAAAGTTGAGAAACAGCAGAGCTTAAGCATAGGTCACTACTTCAGATTGTCCAGAGTGGAAAAAATGAAGCATAGACATGAGTCATTTCTAATTCGCTGGATTCAATTCATTGAAAATCATATGAAAAACACTGGTAAATGAACTCTTCCCTTACAGCCTTCTTGTCTCTGTGTCTCTCTATCTTTTTCCTCTTTCCCCCTTTTTTTTTCTTTTCTTCCTTTTGTTTACTGTAGCCTTTTGTCTCCTTTTTTGTTGTGCCACATTATTATAAGCGTCGGTAGACGTAATAAACATGCATACTCAAAAAAAAATTAATCGAAACAATTTATCAACAATTAGATGATATAACTCCAAATGGAGCAGCTTTACAAGCTGGTGGACAAGTCTGGTCTAGTATTTCACAATTATTAACATGGTCTTATGTTAATTGTAATTATACGAAATTGGCTTGGCGTTCATTATTTAAAAATACATTCGCTAATTATGCAAAACTATTTCCTTCTATTTGGTACAATATTTGGAGTGGACCTGATGGAATATTATCAACAGATGGTTCCACATGGTCTAGTCCAGTTACACCTATGACTGATTTTCCAGTGATGAATTCAAATCCTCATGTCATGTCACTATTTGCAACATTAAAAATGGCTGCTCAGATTCAACCATCATTCAATGGTAATGGATTATCTATAGATTTGACACATTGTAAAACTAATTTTAATCTAAATTTTCCTTTAATTCAATTGAATTTGAATCTATCAATGGGATTGAAAGGTATTTATCGTGCAGCGAATGATGGAAAGTTAAATTTATATATAATCAAGCCAAATTTTCAATCAATTGTTATATCATTAGCTTTTGTGAATGGACAAGAATTATCATTTGAAACACTTTTTTAATTAATTATAATGTTAACTCGGATTTTGATTGTACTTTCATGTAAATTTTAAGTAAAATTTACATTATTTGTATAAAAACTTTTCATCAAACAAATTATTTATCTGACTAAATGAACTGTTACGCAGCTTTCAAAAGAAATTATTTTTGTCAGCTTACCTTGAATACCAGTTAGATATGATAGGTCTTCTACAAATAGAAGAATGTCATGAATAGAATTCATCGAAGCTTCCTACCTAGTATTTCTCATTTCCTTATCTTTGAATTTGCCGATGTCAAAGACGATACGAGTTTTAAGTGAGAAATTTATTAATAATCTTCACGTAGATACGTACATTTGAGCACTAATCATCTATATAATAACAGCATATTAAATTAGTTATTACTCAGTGTGAATCCTGCATATTAGTTACAAATATAATACTTAGAAAAGCACATTTTCATCAGAAAAATCGAAGTTACGTTAAATGCATGAGAACATAGCCTGAGGTCGGACATCTCACAAACGACAGGTCTTTTTATTTGACCCTCTGGTTCTTTTTTCGCCAAAATTGTTGATAATTTCCATGATATAGTGTTTAAAAAACCAATTGTTCTTAAGAAAAAAAAACGAAAATGTTTTTCGTTTTTACTCAGTTCAGTAGTTTTTTGAACGTACATTACAAAATTGTATGTAGATCATCGTTCTGTATAATTAATTAATTTTTTTGAAGAAGCATGTCAAGATGAAGAGCATATTTGAGAGCCTGTTTTTTAATTAAGTTTTGTTTTTATTGTGTTTACAAGTACTTCAATAAATAAATGCCCATTTTGA